TTAGGCTGCTGGGGTGTCTCCCCCATCAGGAGCTGTAGTATCCTCCCCACACATTCAAAGAGCCCGCAGACGCAGATTGTGAGCATCCCAAACGAGTGTCAAACCCAGTTCACCAAGAGGACAGCCTTTATTGAAACACGATGGCTGTTCCATTTTCCCCAGCAGCCTGCGATTCTGCACTGCAGATCTTGGCTTTACCCTGCTGTCTCTGTCTCCACTGTGATTTCATACACCCCCAGTTCTCTATTACACTCCACTCCTGGGTTACCGCACTGTGCAGCACTGAACATGTGAGCTGTCCTGGGAGCCCGGGGTGAGTTACATCACTGTAACACCCTTGTTACTCTTCCTTCTACAGTATAAAGTTGCAGATGTTTGTTTTCCAGTGAGTGCTTTGCGAGTTCCACACGATTCAGGGGAAAGCATGCTCCAAAGGATCACAAGTGTCCCTCTTTCTCCTAGACGGTATTGTATAGTACGTGCATCTTGCACGCCGTCCAAAGTTTAAATTCAACAGCTGAATGATTGCAAGGGAGGGTGCGTGCACGTGTCCTGTGTGTGTGTGTGTGTGTTGGGGGCATCAAAGCACAAATGAAAACGTTGCCTAATCTCTGTAATTTGCCATATTGTTTTCCCAGCCTGAGCGAGATCATAAATTAAAAGTCTGAAAATGACAGAGCAGGTCATGTCTTTCAACAATCGGCTCCCAAATTCCTGTGGGACTTCTCGTCGGCTTCTGCATTTAATTGCTTTTGGATTAAAGAGAAAAAGAAAGAGAGGGGCTGTGTAGCAGATCGTGTCCCGCGATTAGACAGCTGCCCGGGACAGAGGTGCGCCGGGGATGGTGCTGTGTGCTTTCTGGCAGAACGAAAGACCCTTTTTCTTGGGTTCCTGTGGAATTTCCTTGCCCCAGAACCTGAGGGTGCTGTGATGATGGGGGCTTCAGTTACAATGTCTGTGCAATTTATAACCCCTATTCCAGGGCTCTGACTGCTTTTATAGGATGTCTTTAAGTTTCCAAAACAGAACCAGCATTGTGCTTTGCAGGAGGTTCCTGAT